CTCTCTCTCTCTCTCTCTCTCTCTCTCTCTCTCTCTCTCTCTCACACACACACACACACACACACACACACACACACACACACACACACACTGTTTGTTGAGGGTGTCATTCCCATGGACTGGTCCTGTGGAGCACCTGGAACAAGCGGGGACGTCCAGGGTGTTTTAAGCAGTAGCGGTTCTGGCGTTGTGTGGAGATCATGTGGAGTTCGGTATCATAATGATTTAGAGTGGCTTTGTGGATTGAAAATTTTCATTGAGGGGCTGAGGGGGGGTCGGGGTCTTGGGGATTGATAATTTCTGATATGCTGTTGAGGGGGTTTAGGGTCATGGGTTTGAAAGGGAATTTCCAATATTGGGGTTGAGGGGGGTTAGGGTAATGGGTTTGAACCTTGAAGAGAATTTCCAATAATGGGGTTGAGGCCCTTGAGGGGGTTCTGATTAGGGTGAAGGGGGTTTGGGTTTCAGTGTGAAAGGGGTGGGGCTTTCGGGTTTATGGGGGTTTGGGTCTTGGGTTTCAGGGGGGGTTGGGTCTTCAAGTTGGGTTTGAGGGGGGTTCAGGTGTTGATGTCGAGGGGGGCTTGGGTCTAGGGGTTGGGCGCCGTTCCGGGTTGAGCGGGGTTGAAGCGAAGGCTGAGAGGATGGCCAGGGATGCTTGATTTGCAGGCATGCTGTGCGACGGCACGACAATGAGAAACCCTATGTTTCGCCCTTTTTTTTTCGTTTTTAACCTTGCCCCGCAGACAGAATCCACAGGCACAGCCGCACAGATGCTAACATGCAGCCTGTTGATGTTCACGAGTCACGACTGCCATGGATTTTTTTTTTCAAAAAGGTTACTTCTTTCAAAGGACAAAGAACTGCTCACGGAACCATAAATGACTGAACCCTCGACAGTGTGTGTGTGTGTGTGTGTGTGTGTGTGTGTGTGAGAGAGAGAGTGCGACTTGGGTTATAGAAGTTGTTATTACGACAGCCTGGCGGCTGCCTCACAAGATGATTCTACTCGACAGTGTGTGTGTGTGTGTGCGTGTGTGTGTGTGTGTGAGAGAGAGAGTGTCGAGGGTTCAGCCATTTATAGAGTGCGACTTGGGTTATAGAAGTTGTTATAGATGATTCTAGGAATTCTGATCCACGATTTAGGAGTGCGACGTGGGTTAAAAAAGCCACAATTTAGGATATGATTGCCAATGGCTACAAGTTAACCTTAGGCTAGGGAACCACACCCTCAACAGACTCGGAGTTCCAGGGCCTCTACCGCTTCTACTCCCATATACACACACACACACACAGTCATGCTTTTTTTTATTGTATAGCGAATGGCACAGTCAAATGCTTTTTTTGAGTGTATAGCGAATATGACAGCACACACACACACACGCACACACACACGCATACGCACACAAACAAACATCCCATGGACTCTAACGCTTCTCCCCTACACACACACAAAAAAAAAAAAAAACATCCCG